GAGATATAAACAATACCCTCCCCTTGGGTGGGTTAGTACCCTGTGCCCCGCTACCCATTTATTTTTATTTTTACCTTTCCCCACTTCCTTTTTAGTTGTCTACCATGTGTATCCCTGTATTTGGTCTGATCCATGCCATATTACCTGGCCCTCACCCCAGGAATGTTTGTATACAGTAGCTTTTTCCCTATGCCCCTTTTGCATTTTTTTTAAAAAAGCTTACCTTGGTGGACTCATGTTGTACTTGTCCTTTTGTGCTTGACTTTGCTTAGCGTGATTTCCTCCAGTTCTTCCCATGCAGTGATGTGCTTCATACGTTCATCATTGCTTTTAGCGATGCGTATGACTCCATTGTATGTATATACCATATTTTTTAATCCAATCGTCAGTTGATGGAAATTTGGGTTGTTTCCAACTCCTTGCAATTGTGAACTGTGCCATGATGAACATCGAGCACAGATGTCTAGCCTTGGTTTGTTTCTTGCCTCTTCTGGGTATATGCCCAGTATGGGGATGGCTGGGTCTTATGGTAACTCAATTTCCATCTGTTTTAGATATCGCCAGATCGATTTCCATAGTGGATGTATATACTTACAGGTCTACCAGCTGTGGATGAGAATTCCTGTCTCCCCACAGCCCCTCTGACACTTGTTGCTTTCTGATTTTTTGAATTGGGCTACCTTTGAGGGTGTTAGGTGGTACCTCATTATTGTTTTAATTTTCATTTCTCTTATGGCTAAAGATCGGAAACATTTTCTCTTATGTTTGTTGGTCATTCGGATTTTTGCCCCTGTGAAACTTCTGTTCAGGTCCTTTGCCCACCTCTCAAGTGAGCAATTAGTTTTTTGTTTTTGGAAGCTAGCAGAGTATTGTAGATTTTAGTAATAAGGCCTTTGTCTGATGTGTCATTGCTAAAGATGTTTTCCCAGTCCGTGGACTCTTATTACTCTCTTGGTGAATTTTTGATGTACACAGGTGTTTTATCTTCAGTATATCCCATTTGTCAATTTGTGCCTCTTCTGTGTTTGTGTCCTTCCCTATTTCTGATAGCCTATGTATTCCCTGTGTGCCAAAGTTCTCAAGTTGGTCCCAATTCCCTCATTGATGGCCCTAATCATTTGAGGGGTTTTTTTTTATGCTTTTATTGGGGCTCTTACATCTCTTATCACAATCCATACATTCATCCAGTGTGTCAAGCACATTTGCACGTATGCTGCCATCATAATTTTCAAAGCATTTTCTTTTCATCTGTACAGCTTAAGGATTTAAGCATAATTAAACTCTCCCAGCAATCCTGTGCTTCAAAAAAGCCCACTGAGTATCTTTCATCTCACAGAAACCTTAGAGTTTTCAAGGCTGTAAATCTTAATAGGAGCAGCTAGCCTCATCTTTCTCCCATAGTGTACCTGTAAGATTTGAACTGCCTTTCTGAGAGTACTCTAATTATTCCTGTTTTATTAATTAGTAGACTACATACAAAAGGTAAAGTAACTTTCTTTAAGGGCATTAGGAAGCTAAAGCTAAGATTGGAGATTTATTTACTGGTCCAGTTCATATTATCTTAATCTTGTAATTTGGGATAACATGTTAATATTTGAATTATATCATTAAATTCAATTATAAATAGATATATAAAAAGTATGCCAGCTAAAATGTAAAGACTTTCCCCAATTTAACCTCATTTCAAAAGAATTTTCTAACATTATTAAAACTATTTGGGAAACATTTTAGTGACTATGTAGCATACATTGAATGGGTATACCACACTTTACTTGACCATGTTTCTAATGTTGGGTATTTTAGATATAAATGCTGCTATTACAAATAATACCTCAGTGAATAACTTTGTCCGTAAGCTACTTTCTGCACTTTTGCTATATCCTTATAGGTAGCTCCCTAACAAAAAACAATATTGTATATACCTGTGTATAAGCCAAATTTTTCAGCACATTTTTAATGCAATTTTTGTGGTAAAATTAGGTGCCTCGGCTGATACTCGGGTCGGCTTTTACTCGAGTATATATGGTAAATGAGTGTTGACTTCCTAGGGCCATTCAGGTTGGGTGACTTTCCTTACCCACCTAACCAATCTGTGGCCCTGAGGTAATACTTACACCATATATCAGAACTTCCTTGAAGTTATCTTTAAGCCAAGCAACATGTTAGCTTAATTAGTACAGAATATGCATGTGGAAAAATTACCTACCTGAGATAAAAATTGACAACAGCAACTCTGAAAGATTAGATGAGAAGCTGAGGGAGAAGTTTATGTTAACAGTAGTTAGAATAATTTGGAAAAACCTTCCACAATAGTTACACAAATTGAAAATGTAGTCAGTGCCATAAAACACATGTATCTTGCTGTGTTTATTTTCCCAGGCCATAGAACTGAGGGTTTAAAGCTGTGTATATAGCTGGGCCTTATTTCTTAATTAACATCTTTGTGAGATGATACTTTGCTTATTGCTTTAAATACGTGTTCACTTTGCTCTAGTAGAGCATTGCCTGCGGCATTAGGTTCTATGATTTAAGATTTTTTGTGTGTGGCCTATTGGCCTCCTTTATCCAGATTTGTGCTTTCCCTGGTCCTAAATAACCTAAAGCATGGGGAGATTGCTCAAAATGTCCCAATGTGTCATGTGGCAGTTATACATAGTCTCCTGTCAACTTGAGCTAAGGGGTGGAGGCTAGCCTGTCAATCGGGTCACAAGTTAACACCCACCAGGAGGATTCTGGGAACTTATTTTTCCTCCCTAGAGGTGGGACATTCTTTCTCTCTCTACTTCATCTTCCTACTACAAGCCACATGGAGCCATTCTGATTGCAGTCAAAGCCCTAGAGATGCTTCCACTGCCTCTGGATCCACAAGACTTTTCATCCACAAGCCTGTGATCTTCCTGCATTTGGCATCATTGCATGTGCTTTGTTGAGTCTGAAGAGGAATTTATAGACTCGTATCGGACACATGGGCTAATATTGGACTTATGGACTTGATCTGGGATGTTTTCTTTATATACAATTACTCTTTGATATAAAGTTCTCTCATATACATATGAGTGTCTCTGGATTTGTTTCTCTACTCAACCTGGACTAACACGTCACGTTGGCTACATGGAAAAAATGGTGCCGGATCTACCCAAGTTGAGCGTACCTCAAGAGTGTTACAGTTTGTTCAGCTGGTTAGTTATGGGCTGATGACCAAGGAAATAAAGGAATCAATGTGTTTGATGAAGACACTGGGAAATGGTTAGGAGCATTGGGGTTACTGTTTCAAAGAAGAGGGACCATCGTCTGTCAGATTTACCCCAATTTGAATCTGAGTGGGTTCTCATTTGTGGCAGCACTTGGAGTAGGAAACATTGCCAATTGTTGTGCGGGCAGTACAATCCAGTCAACTTGAAGATCAGCTTTTACCTCCTTTCCCAGATGCAGATAGGAAGAATGGAGCAGCTATAAAGCAGAAATTAGAGTAGAAACAACTACAAAAATGTGTCCCTTTGAATAGCTATTTTCTTCACTTGGCTTATACATTTTCTTGTAGTTCTTTCCAAGCGGAAAGTCTGTTGTCAAATTCATTATGAAGTCTAAAAATGTTAAAACAGTATAATCTCTCTACTAGATCCAGTAATAGAAAATTTATTAAAATGTATGTGATTGTCATTTAGGTGAAAGTTTATAGAACACATTTGTTTTCCATTCAGTAATTTATGCACACATTTTTCTCTGACATTGGTTGCAAGGCCCAAATGTTTATTTTTGGCCTTGGACTGTTTGTTTGTTTTTTTCCTGTGGAGCATAATTTTCTAGGGTGGTGTTCATTTTACAGGCCCTTTATGTGGCTAAAAGATGATCTCTGGGAGTGGATAAGTTACAAGGATGTGTAAGAGCCATAATCATGGGAGTTCTACCACTCTATCAGTCAATCTGGTCTTTTCATACATTTTCATTTTGTTCTACTTTTCTCCCCATTCTACGTGGTACTTTCTATTGTGACTGTGATCAAAGGGATTGGTAATGGTGGCTGGGTCACATTCACTACTCCTTTTCTATCTACAAGGTAACTTCTATCTACAAGGTAACCTGTGCCCTCAACATAATTCCTGCAGCTATCCAATTACAAGGGAATTAAATCAGTGTACTTTTGGTCAGGAGTATCCAAGTCTTGAATAAGTAATTATACTTTTTATCAATATGTATGATTTACTTCCTACATCCACGGTCACATCAGATTGTCCATGTGATATTGGCTGCATATAGAAGATAAGGTGTGCCAATTACATAATTCTAGGCTTTCCATGTCTGGTTTCTAAAGGCCATAACTACCCACATGGAGCTCCCACCAATATTGGGAAGAGAGATAAAGACAATAAGCAAATAAAAGTAAATGAACAAGATGATTGCACAAAGCGTTGTTGAAAATTATTTTTCTGCATAGCTTCCATATACCATATATCCTTGTGTATAAGCCGAGTTTTTCAGCACATTTTTAATGCAGTTTCTGTGGTAAAATTAGGTGCCTCGGCTGATATTCGGGTCAGCTTATACTCGATTATATACAGTATTTGCAAGAGTAAATTCCATGCTTTTAATAAATGCATAACGGGGGCTGCATTGTTGAAGTCCATCTAATTTTCTATATTTACTACTAGTGGATTTGGAAGCATGCAAAGGTCTTACACGTTCTAAATAAAGTGTTCTCTCATAGGTTGCAGAGAACACATCATAGAAGATGCAAAGCCTGAATCTATCAGTGACACTACTGACTTGGCCCTGCCACCTGAAATGCCGATTTTGATTGATTTTCACGCTCTGAAAGACATCCTTGGACCCCCGATGTATGAAATGGAGGTAATCATTCTCATTTCTTTAATACTCGTTGGTTTACTCTGGAGTTGCTTAACTTGAAGGAGTAGAGTTACATGTTTTGGGAGAATGAATTTTATCGTTAGATTGGAAACATCTTTTCTGGATAGTATTGCTTTCTATTCTTTGTTATTCATTTCTGTCCTGAGAATAGTGTCTCTGACTTTCTCCCATTCTCTCCTTAGAGCTTTTACATTTCTATTGTATGTGCTTTAAGGATTTTTTTATATATAATTTTATTGGAAGCTCTGACAGCTCTGATAACAATCCATACATCAATTGTATCAAACACATTTGTACATATGTTGCTATCATTTTAAAAACATTTTCTTTCTACTTGAGCCCTTGGTATCAGCTCCTCTATTTTTCCTCCCTCCTAAACCCTCTCACCCTCGTGACCTCCTGATAAATGATAAATTATTTTTTCATATTTTACACCATCCAATATCTCCCTTCACCCACATTCCTGTAGTTCACCCCCTGGGGTGGGGGAGGGGTTATACGCTGATCATTGCAATCAATTCCCCCTCCCCCACACCTTCCCCCTACCCTCATGGTATCCTGAAGGGTTTTATTTGTCCTTGATTCCACGTGTCAAGAACTCTCTTATCTGTACCACTGTACATGCTCCGGTCTTGCCAAATTTGTAAAATAGAACTGGGGTCGTGATAGTGGAGGGGAGCACTAAAGAACTAGAGGAATATTGTGTTTCCTTCCCTTCCTTTTGATCCTAGATGGGCTTTGGGTCTCCACTCCAACCCCCCCTCGTTCACATCGATATGATTGTCTTGGGTCTTTTGATGCCTGATACCTGATCTCGTCAACACCTCATGACCATCTATACTGTTGTTCTTCTTCCATGTGGGCTTTGTTGCTTCCCTGCTAGATGGCCGCTTGTCTAACTTCAAGCCTTTAAGGCCCCAGGCACACCATCAGCTTTCTTCACCACATTTGCTTATGTGCCCATTTTGACTAAAGCGATTGTGTTAGGAAGGTGAGCATCACAGAATGCCAGGTTATTATAACAAAGTGTTCTTGCGTTGAAAGGGTACTTGAGTAGAGACTCAATGTCTGTCTGCTACCTTGATACTTAACATATAGCTATATGTACAAAGCCCTATATCCTTATCATATATATATATATATATATATATATATATATACACTTGCCTATATTTATACCTCTATAAATGTCTTTTGCTTCCTAGTTCTTCTATTTCCTTTTACTTTCCACTATCCCACTATCATGTTGAACCTTCATTAGGCACTCAGTAATTCCTCTCTGCTACATCCCCCTTGATCAAGCCCTAGGTGTTCTACACCCTCCTCTCCCATCAATTTTGGATCTCTTGCTCCCTCCTCCCTTTTCCCTACCTCCCACTCTCTCCTGTTACCCCGGAACCTTTAGTCCCTTTGTTTTCTCCTCAGGATTGCTTATCTTGCCTATCTTATATAGATGGACATGAAAAAAAAGGAGTGGGGGTGGGCTAAAATAGTTCCAGATCTGTCTGCTGACCCTTATGTATGTTTTCCAATCGAGTCTGATGAGATGCCAAGCCCTGCCTTCCGAGTCTGAAGCCTATTTGGGGGATTCTTTGGGGACTTCATTGCTTTGCTCCCCAAGCTACTCTTTTGTGCTCACTTTGTGTTTTGCCCCGGTGTGGGGGGTTCAGACCGGGCATAGTTACCACACTGTCTCCAGTGCTATCCCTTGCAGTGCTGTGGGTCAGTGAGGGATGTCATGTCTCGTGGTGGGGCCGGTCCTATGGTCTCTGTGCCTTGGCTGCTCCAAGGAGGAGTGTAGTTCTCAGGGCTTAGTGGGCCATGAAGCGGTTCTCACTCTCTTCCCTCTTAGTTTGCTCCTGTGTGGTCTGGGCAGACTTGCCACCCTCTCCAAGCTGTATCTTCAGTCATGTCCTCTGTAGTGCAATCTTCTGGAGAGGGGTTCAACATAGCTGGGGTTGGGGCTGGCCCCTCAGACCTGTTAGTTTGCTGCTTCATGCCAGTATGTTGCCCTCAAGGCTTGGCTTACCAAGTTGAGGTCTGGTCCCTCTCCTTTTCCTGTGGAGACATAAATACCTTCCCCATCGTTGGGTTAGTGCCCTGTTGCCCCACTATCCGTGACTTCTTTTTTGTTTTATGTTTTCTTTTCCCCTCCTCTTTTGTTGGCTGCCATATGCATCCCTGGGTTGGGTCTGACCCCTGCCTGAGTGCCTCACCCCGGGAATGTATGCATTTGGTGGCTTTTCCCCATGTCCCTTGTGTTTTTTAAGCTTACCTCAGTGGACTCATGTTGTACTTGGCCTTTTGTGCTTGGCTTGCTTGGCTTAGCATAATTTCCTCCAACTCTTCCCATGCAACAGCGTGCTTCATGCATTCATCACTGCTTTTTAGGGATGCGTAGTACTCCATTATATGTATTACCAGAATCTATTTACACTATAAGGGGTAGGGAATCAACTCGTACAAAATGTCTAAAAATATACGCTTAACTTTAGAGTAATCCATTTACACTGCTGCTAGTCTTGACCCAGGTGCCATCTTCCAGGAATCTGATGAAAGTTGCTTTATGGTTAAACCTGCATGCATTTCTGCCGTATATCTAGTTTCCTCCCCAAATAGTGTATAACTTTGTATCACAACTATCTTAAAGGCCTGATACCCATAACCAAGTAAGGGAACTAGGAAATAGGCATTTCAGTCTATGTCTACTGAAGACATTTTGATATATTTGTATTTTGTAGATGCTTACATGTTTTGTTTTGTTTTTAAGGTAAATTCCTAGAAAATGTTTGTAATATGGCTGAGGTATACCTCTTTTATTCATAAGCTTTATCATCTACTCCTCCTTCATAAGCTGTCATCCCAGCTAAATGAAAAAAGTAACTCTTTAGAAGATAAATACAATTAATTATGCAGAGGACGATCTGTTCAATGACTGTTTGAAACATTCTCAGTGAGTATGGATTCCTCCATCTCATCTTATCTGCTCTGTCCGAGCTGAACACTGACCCTAATGAGCCTCTCTCCAAAGCCCTGAGTAAGAGTATAACTGGTTCACCCTTCACAGTAAACAGTAGAATCAGAGTGGGGATTTCCGTGATTTGAATTCTAACGAGTTCAAAGATTTAAATTGTGAAGTTTTGAGAGAACTTACGCAAAAATTTGTGGTTGAGAAAGTGTGCAAAATCTGCTAGCCTGTTATGAGAGAATTCGATGATTTGGGGAATGAAGATATACTGAAATAGGCTCTGGTTCCTGTGTGTCTAGATACAGGCCTTTTCTTTAGACTTTCCAGAAAAAGTATATTCCAGCAGTTCCTTGCAACAAGAAGTAAAAGCAAAAGATTTCCAGTTTCGAGTACATATACTCTTCTTTCCCATCTATTTCTGCTGTTGTTGTGTTTAAGTGCACTGCTGGTAGGTAGTCTTGGAGTTTGGGGGAAAGTGAGAGCGAAAAGAACATAAATGAGAAATTTTATTGCTTACTACCACTATAAACGTGTTTTTTTTTTTTTTTTTTTTTTTTTTTTTTTTTTTGAGAAGTTGAGCTATTACAGTTTCAGCTTTTACCAATATGAATCTGAACAGTAGAGTGATAATATCACCAGTAGTACTTTACTTACTATATAGTATCTTAGAATTTAAGATCTGGAGTGTGAAAGTTTATAATAATTTTTCATTTTATCCACACTTGTAAGAGGCTTCACTTGATAGACTAAGATTTTTCTCTTACCTGTCACGGTGTGATAACCAGAACCAACCCAAAATCTGTGCCATTGAATCGATTCTAATGCATGGTGAACCCTACAGCACAGAGTAAAACCGCTCCATGGGATTTCCACGACAGTAAATCTTTACAGGAACAGACTGCTTCATCGTTCTTCCACAGAACTGCTAGTGGGTTTGAACCAATAACCTTGCAATCTGCCCAACCCTTAGCCCACTGTTCCACCAAAGCTCCTTGGTGTGATGACCATCAGTCCCAAATTAGTTCGCCAGACTCTGCCTCACCTTTTCCATCTGTAGAAGTCAGATTGGCATTGTTATATGTAAGACCATACACTGTGCTACAGTTCTTCTTCCACTTTACACACCAAGAAAAAGCTTAAAGAAACTAAATGAATTGTGCAAATCCATATTGGGTGCAATTAATAGAACCAGTATTCAAACTCAAATGATCTGATTCCAAGCCCTGTACTTTCTTCTCTCTTCTCCCACACCATTTCAGACTATGAACTGCTACAGTAGTTAGCCAGCAAGATATAAGCTCTACTTCATCAAGCTTATTTACAGGAGGGAATAAAAAATAAGTAAACAAAAAATGTTTTGGAAATGCTGATGGCAACATATGTACAAGTGCACTTAATACAACTGAATGATGGATTGTTGTAAGATCTGTAACAGTACCCCAATAAAATGATTAATAAAAACAAAGAAATAATTAAATTGAGATTGATACTTTGAAGAAAATAAGCAAGATGCTACTGACATAGTGAAGTTATGTCTTTACTTTAGATGTATCTGAAATATATTTCAGAGATATACTTGATGGTGGATAACACATGCAGAATGAAGGAAACCAAATAATCAAAGTTACAGGTTTCCAAGAGAGGAAAGTACCCTTTAATGAGGGTGGGCAAACTAGTATAGGAAGGGATATTTTGCGATAAAAGTGCTGTAAAGAAAACGAAAACTTCCATTTTGAACATGTTAAGTTTCATGTATCTGTGAGGCATCGAACTAGAGATAACTGCACATGGATAGATCCAGGATGGAGATAATAATTACAGAGTTATCATAAAATAGAGGCTATTTAAAACCCCGAAAATATTGTGATCACTTGAGGGAAAATGTACACAGAAAAGCAGCAGCCCAGGAACAGACTGAAGAACTCTATAGATGACGGAGGAGCAACAAGCACATCAGGTAGGAGGAAACAAGAAATCTGCATTGCCAAGAAAACAAAATGCTTTGAGAAAGAAA